CGCTGGCGTAGAAAGTGTCTTCGACGCTGGCGGCGCCGCTTCCGCTGATGCTGCCCCCGCCGACGCTGCCCCTGACGCTGGCGTAGAAGGTGTCCTCGCCGCTGGCGTTGCCGCTGATGCTGACTTCGACGCCGTCGCCCACGCTGGCGTAGCAGAAGGTGTCTTCGACGCCGGCGTTGCCGCTGATGTTGCCGTCGACGATGCTGCCCCCGACGCTGGCGCAGCCGCTGATGATGCCCTCGCCGACGCATCCGCCGACGCTGGCGTAGAAGGTGTCTTCGGCGACGCTGGCGTTGCCGCTGGCGCTGCCCCCGCCGATGCTGCCTCCGACGCTGGCGCTTTTGGCTCGGGCGTTGATACCATATCCGGAGTGGCTGCGCGGGGCATGGCGCTGCGCTCTCTGTGTGGCCCCATCGGTTCGATCAGGTCTCTCACGATGTTCACTAGAGCCGTCGATTCGTCGTAATTTGAAACTGGTGCCAATCCCAACGACGGTTTGTGACCTGGTAGAGCGCCCCTTACTTCGACCTGCGCAGCGAGGTTGAGACCGCTGACCCAAGCGTGATGGCGCCAATCTCTCATTAGTTCTCCTCTCTCTCTCTCTCTCTCTCTCTCTCTCTCTCTCCTCTCTCTCGCTCTCGCTCTCTCTCTCTCTCTCTCTCTCTCTCTCTCTCTCTCTCTCTCTCTCCCTCTCTCTGTGTAACTCCCTCTCCCCCCCTTTGCCTTTCTCCCCCCATGCCTCCCCCTTCCCCGAACTCATGGGTTTATGTTTCGTTTTGTGGGTCAGCGGGCATGGGCGGAAGCCGCAGTGGATGCGTAATCTCGTGCCTGGCCAGGAGGGGGATTTGGCGCATTGATTCTGACGCGCAGGTTAGGCGTCGGCTCCTCTGCATGCGCTGGTCCTGGCTCGGGCTGAGCCGGAGGGGGCCGTTCCGGTGGGCCCATTGAACAGCCAGGGGAAATCGTAAAATTCATTTCTAGGCCGCCACCCCAGTGAATCCCCCTACCCTTCATGAGCCTTCTGCTGCTGCTTCGTCCTCCGCACGCTCGCTTTGGCCAGCGGATCCTCCACGGCGCCCCCCCGCTCAAGACCAGGGCAGCGCAAGTCCCATGACCAATGGGGACTTGGCGGGGGCGGCCGAAATGCCCATTCAGGATTCCCCCTGGTTGGTTGTGATCTTGAACAACTCGGGCCTGAACCGCTGCCGGCGGCGGCGGCGACGGCGGCAAGGAATGCGACGAAGACGACGACGACGTCAACGACGACGACGACCGACGAAGTCGCACTACAACGACGTCGACGACGACGACGACGACCACGACCATGACGACGACGACAATGGCGGCGACCATGCTGTAAGGAGGGCCTCCGATCCGCACCCTCACCGATGCCGACGCCGACGCCACCGCCCCGGCGGGGTGTAATATGCACATATGTATGAATGATTCGTGTTCATATGTTCATATGCATACATGTTTATGTGTGTATTTTGATATATGTATGTACATATGTATGTAATCATAAACCAATGTTATACTTATATATGTATATATGATGATGTTGATGATGATGGCGATGATGATGATATGTATTTCAAACGGCCCAAAAGGCATTCACTCCCGATCGCCTTCGGAGACCCAGTCGCCGAGGTAGCGGCGGTAGAAGCAGCACCGCGCGGCCCTGCACATGCGCGGCGGGCGCAGGCGCGGCGTTGAGGCGAGAGCGCCACTCAGAGGGCGGGGCGGATGGGATTCCACGCCAAAGCACCCCGTCGCGCGGTCGCGCCACAGCACGGCGATGCGGAAGGCAGCGAAGTTCACGGCAGGCACGAACCATCGTTCGGGCTCACATGGCCTCACCGCGAGGGGGAAGACCCCTTCGCCCGAAAGAATTTGGACCCCTCTCGGCCCCCAGGACGGCACCCCGCCGCGACGGTAAACCGCCCGCGGGATGGTTGGAGCCCCCAGGGGGCCTGCGGCAAGGCCAGGGGCGGGGCCCCGCCGACCAGTGCCATCATTGCTCGAGCCTGTGGGCGAGCGTTGCGTGGGCATGTGCATGATGCTGAAGGTGACGATGGAATAATGTTATGACGAACAGTTTCAATCACTTGTACTATCCAGCACAGCCATCATCCTCATCATCTTCGCCATCATCACAATCACCTAACGCCACCTGCAATAATGCACCCCTTGTAGAACTCACCAGCGCGCGCGGGTGACACGTGTCACCCGCGCGCGCCCATTGGACACCGTCAAGGGTCCATTGTAGTTTCTCAACCATCATGGCGACTGTCCTAATGTTGAAACGCAAAAAACCGCATGATAAGTTCAAACTCCAATCGGTCACAGTTAAGGGTTCAACTTCGTTTCCAAGTCACATGGCGACTTCTCGATGTGGGCCAATACAGAACTCCCCATGCCATGCGCGTCCGTCCGTCACTTCAACGGCATTTCCAGGACAACATGGTGACTTCCCCCATGTTGGAACCTAAAGGCCTGCATGTCAACTTTAAAACCCACTCGATCACGCTTAAGGGTTCACTTTAGTTTCCAGGTCAACATGACGACATTTGAACTGTGGATAAGAGAGAACCCCATAACGCGCGCGCGCCCAGCGGGTCACCCGAAATCCGCCCCGTAATCGTTAAGGCTTCGCTTTGGTTTCCAGGCCAACATTGCGACCTTTCGATGGTGGACACTACAGAACTGGTTCATGTTCGATAATTGGTGATGGTTGATGATGGTAGTGATGAAAATGGACGCTTGCTGATGATGAAAGATGATGGATGGCGCATCAGTAGATGTTCAGAATCCGCGAGGGAAGGAGCGGATGGGTGGTGGCAGGGCTGGCTCTTCCGAGCGGCGCCTCCCCCCTCGCGGAGTTCACAGCCATCCGCCCTCGAAGACAAAGTCACCGAGGTGGCGGTTGTCCAGCAGCGCTGCACAGCCGATGGTGATGATGGATGGTTGATGTTGGAAGATGTATGGTGGTATATAAAGATGACGGGTGAATGGGTGATGGGTGCTGTAAGATGTAAGATTATGTGATGTAGTGGGTGAATGAATGATGGATGATGGAATGGGTGATAGATGTCATGGGCGAATGGATGATGGATGTATGATGATCGAAGATAATGGGCGATGGATGAACGGGTGATGGGATTGAAGATCGATGGGGAAGATGAATATGATGATGCTGATTATGTAATATGACGTATACTGGTGTATGGTGCATGATGTATGGTGATCATCATCATCACCATCCTTCACCACCCCTCAAGCCCCAGGGCACTCCCCTATCTGCAGAGCAGGGAGGACCAAGCGGAGCAGGGCGAGCAGGGGGAAAGGACCGCAAACGGACAACGAGCAGCGCGATTCCTCTCGCACCCTTCACAGGGGGCGAGGGTGCCGAAACACAAAGGTGGCGGGCTGCCAGGCTCAGAGGCGACCCAGGGCATGGCCCTGTTCTTCCTGTGGATCGGCTCCGCGCGGGCCTCCGCGAGGCCGTCGTCGAACGCTTCCACCAGGAAGGCCTTGTCGATCCCGCTCCCGCCCTTGGCATGGGAGGTGTTCCTCTGCTCGTGGTAGCCGAGCCCGGAGGTGTTCGCGGAAGCGGCGATGTGGTCCAGGTACGCGCCCTTGTGCGTGATGACGTCGCCATGGCGCAGGAACGTGGATAGTTCCATGCCCAGCAGCTGGCGCAGGCCGTAGAGCTGGCACGCCTCGGTGACGCGGTCGTCGTCCGCGCGCGCCTCGACGTAGTCGCTCGCGGTGTTGGTGGGCCAGTCGCAAACGATGCCCGTGGCTGATCTGCGAGCGGTCTCCTGGTTGATCCAGTCGGTTATCTCTTCAGCCTCTGCGAGCAGCTTCTCGGCCTGCGGGCCCGTCGCGGCCCAGCAGCCGAGGGGCCCTGCCGGTCCGTCAGCGCCCGGGGCCCTCGCGCAGTGGCACTCGGCCGCGTGCAGCGGCGAGGCCAGGGCGGGGGCCGCAGCCCAGGCGCCACGGCGAGCGGCGGCGGCGGCCCAGAGCGCCGCCGCCTAAAGGGGGCGGGAGCCGTGGCCGCGCGATCTGCCAGACACGGCGCCGCGGGAAGGCGCCGCGGCGCGCCCCGCGGGGAAGAGGGGGGAAGGGGCGGGAAGAGAGGAAGCCGCGGGCGGCGGAGCACGCTGAGAGCCTGGAGCTCTTGAGCCTTGAGGAGCTTGAGCCAGCCCAGCGCCTGGGGCTCGAGCAGGGACCCAGCGCCTGCGCCCGGAATGCCCGTCGCCAGGGGGTGGCCAGCCCAGCGCCCCGGAGCCAGAGTGCGAGCCGCAGGGTCGCGTTGTGGGAGATGCGCAGATCCGATAGCGCGCGGTTGTCCTCCAGCTGGCGCCCTGCATAGAGCAAGCGCTGACAGGCCGGGGGCATGCCCTCCCTGTCCTGAATCTGCACCTTGACGCAGTCGATCGCCTCGTCAGCCGTCACGTCGAACGCGAGGGTCTTGACTGTGAGCGTCTTCGCGAAAATCTGCATGTTCGTGCTGGCCTCGATGGTGGTGGTGTCCGCGTTGGTGTCACATTCGGCGTCGCTACTGGTGTGGGTCCAACCGTTGGTCGTGGCGTCGACCTTGCCTCGGGTGCAGGCGTCGGTGTTGTCGTGGATGTCGGCGTCAGTGCCTGTAATGATGGTGCCATCGGTGCTGCCTGCTGTGCTGGCGTCGGTGCTGGCGTCGATGATGCAAGCGTCCGTGCGCTCGGAGTCTGAACTGGCTGTCGATCATGTACCCGGAGCCCGTGTCAAGCACCTCCAAGGTCGCCATTTGCAAAGAAGTATCGGACAGTCCTGCAGGATCCCTGACTGGACGATTCAAGAAAGGACGGGGCGGTGAGGTACCTTGGAGAGGGTTGGAGGTGGGCGAGGGACCTTGGAGTTGCGGCGGGGGGGGTCCATGGAGAACGGTGGCCCCCCATCGGCCCCCGCGGCCCCCCAGGTCGTTTGTCTCGCGTACCCCCTGGGAATATGACTGGTCCTGTTGCCGTGGCCCCTGTTGCCGTAATCCCTTGTCCTGGTCCTGTTGCCGTAGTCCTGGTCCGGCGCCCACTGGGAGTGGACGTGGGCGCCGAGGTCGCGGTCGAGGCCGAGGGCGAACTCGGTGTCCTGGCGGTAGTCGAGGTCGGGCAGGGCCCCCCCCCTGTGCCAACGCCTCGCTCCCGTCGGGGTCCATCTCGACGTAGCACTTCCGCTGCCGCATCGCACCGTATGCCCAGACGTTGTCGTAAATCTGCTTGTTCTCCGGGCCGGAGGCGTCCTTTTCGTCGGATGGCGCCCCGAGCGGCGGGGAGGGCGACGCAGTCACCATGGCGGCAACTGCGGGTTGTAGCGGGGGAGCGGAGCGAAGTGTCGGTACTGAAATGTGGTGTGAGGGATGGGAAGTCCGCCGTGTCTTGAGCCCGCACCAGGTGTGCTTGACCTGGCTCTGGGTGGCAACCGACCTTCTGCGGTCGCCCTTATTGGACTTGATATTCGCTGCTGGCTCACTCAACCCCTCGATCGGAGCATGATGTGGCCTCCCGCCGTCGCCCTCGCGCGGCAGGGCGCCCGCGCGGCACCAACTCGGCCTCGCGCGCGGACAGAACCAGCAAATCAAAGAAACCACAAGCACAGCGAGCAGGAGCCCTAGGCTCACGCCCGCCATCAGCACGGTCAGGCTCACATAGTAGCCCTCGGTCGCGGCCCCCAGCGTGGTCGCTGGAGTCAGCGCACTCTCGTCCATCCCCCGCGGTGCCTCGCGCAGCTCGGTCGAGGTCCCCTGCGCCGCAGTGGGGAGCGACGCGGCCACTGCAAGCAACGCCTTCAGCAGGTTCGACTGGGCCTGGAAGTCGGTCGGCATGGCCCCGACTGCAGCAACCCTCGAGGCCCCTGGCACTGGCACCTCCTTCAGCCCGCAACTCTCTCGGAGCCACTCGAGGCGAGCCCTCGGCAACACTTTCGCGCCGAGATCCGCCAGGTTGTTCCCCCCGCCCACAGGCTCGATGGTGATGGCCTTCTTGGCCGCCAGCTGCTGGATCCAGAGCGTCTCGGAGGCAAGGTGCTTGATCCGCCCATTGCCCTGACGCCTCGCCAGCGCTCTCGCGCTCGAGCTGTCGCATCGCCAGCTCATGCGCACACTGTAGCCCATGAACGCGAGGAGTGCCTTCAGCCCAAGCACCTCGCTGAGCCCTCGAGCTCCAGCGCGCCGCTCGGCTTCGCAGCTGCTAAGGGACTGCGCGTCGTGACGACAGCTGATCCCGAGCATTGGACACCCGCGCGCGGTGATGTGCACGCTGGTCTGGCTCGTCCTCTCCTTCGTGTCGCCCGCCCAGTCGGAGTCTGTCCACGCGACCAAGTCGACGATGTCCTGCGGCGTGGCGGGCCTGGCCATCCTCGCGCCCAGGTCCCTCGTGCCCCTCTGGTACCTTGCCAGCCTCTTTGGGGCTCGCATGTCCGCCTCGCGGGGCGACGAGATGCACGAGGTCAGGTAGTTGATGTCGAACCGGGCGTCCTCGCGGTCGTGCAGGTAGAGCAGCAGGCGCATGGTCGCGCTCCTGAGCAGCATAGCCTCGTCTGGGCTGATGTCGGGCGTGCCATCCCTGCCTGTCATGCGCGCCCCCACCCCTGGGGCGGCGCGCGGGTTGGCCTCCTCGAAGCCCCGCGCCCCCAGCGCCTTCGTGAGGTACTTCTCGTTGGGCTGGACGCAGGTGGCGTCGGCCTCTCGCACGCGCCGCCTCTGGGGAAACTCGCAATCGGCACCGTCGCCCTGCAGACCTGGCCACTTCGCCTCGATGTCACGGCCTACGTCCAGCACGAAGCCGGACCCTGCAACTCCAAGCGCTGCGCCGTGCACGTCGCCCATGCGTGGCCCCACCAGACATAGGGGGCTCGGCGCGCCAGAAGAACTGGGGCGCGGTCGGCGACCGCTCGAAGCCCCTGGCCACGAGCTGCTCCGCGGCGAACTCGGCCCAGCGCTTCCTTCCAGCACGCCGCCCTGGCAACTGCCTCGCGAGCTGCCACGCGTAGTCCTCGGCGTCGCCCTTCGCGCGGCACTCCTCCAGGACCTCAGGTGGGCGCTCGACCCGCGCATCCTCCTCCTCGGGGGCGTGGTAGTGCGCGCGCGTCCTCCGCATCAACAATGAAGGTGGGCCACCCGTGCGTCAGAGCCACGTGGTACACCATTCGGCTGTCGGCCGTGCTGCTCCCTGGCGTGAAGGTCGTCGCGGTGCGCCTGCCACTTGAACTCTCGCGCCACGCACCTCGACTTCGCGATCCTGCACCCGAGGTTCGCGTCCCACTTGTAGACGTGGCCCCAACGGGCGCAAATCCCCTTGCCGACGGCCTCGCTCCACTTGACAAACTTGCCTGCCCCGTGCTGCTTCGGGCCGCCGAGGGCCCGTCGGGTGGAAGCCTCGATCAACTGCGAGTCCGACGCATCGTGAGGATCGGGGGCGCCCATGCCCCTGAGGACCTGCAGGAAGTCAGGCCGAACGTCATCACTGTGCTCCGCTGCTACTCCGCTAACTCGAGACCTCGCAAGGGTGCCGCGGCTGTCGCCCTCCTCCGCAGGTCGCTTCGGCGATCGACCCATCGGGGGCGGCTGCGGAGCCGCACTCGCTGGCGCTGCGGCACGCGGCGTCATGGGGGTGTCGTCCCTAGCGCCTCCCGCAGCCGACGTCTGTGTCGCTGGCCCCGCCTGCCTGTCCCCAGCAGGCGCCTCGGCGCCGCCCGCCGCGTCGGCCGGGGGCGCTGCCGCGGGCGCGCCCGTCTGGGCCGCTGGCCCGCCGCCACGGGCGGCCGCGCTGGACTGGGCCGCGGCGGTCGGGTCTGGCTGTGCCTCAGCGGCCTCCTGCGCCGCCAGGTCGGCGTCCACGGCAGCAGGTGGCGTAACGATCGGCTCGATCCCGCGCGGGGCCGCGCCCTGCCCTCGGCGCTGCCGCGGCGCGTGCGTGATCGCCGCCCACGGCGGTGCGATTGAACCTCCGCTCCTCGGGCACACTCTTGACGGCCCTCGTCGTGACCAGCTCGCCCGTCTCGAGGGCGCAGCTGTGCGCGTCGGTGTCGTAGCTCTTCCCTAGCCAGACCGCCCTCGCGAAGCCCATGTCGCCCTTGTGGTGCACCTTGCCTCTCGCCCAGCGATCCTTGCCCCTCGGTAGGCGCGCCAGGACGGGCCCCCCTGGGGCGGCCATCTCCCTGGTGTAGGCGTGGCCATAGAGGTCCTCATGTGCGGCGCGACCGCTCGCCTTGATCCTCAGGTTGGTGCACGCCCAGCCCGCGCGGCGCTGCAACCACTTGTGCACGGCCGTGCCTGGGCAAACCCTGGCCCCCAGTCGTGCCTCCAGCGCGCTTCTGCTCGCGCGGAACTGCGCCTGGCTGCTGCTGTCGGCGTTCTCGGAGGGGTTCGACTGGGAACTGATCGTGTGAGCAGGTCTCACGACCACACGATTGGGCAGCTCTGCCTCGACCTTGTTGGCCAGGTCCATCATGGCGCCCTCGTGGTCGGGCCTTGAGATAACCTTCTGATGGAAGAGGCCCTTGGTGAACGCCACCGTGGCTGCCGCCGCATAGGGATCAGCGCGTCGGTCAAGCTTCGGGACACTCCTGATGGCACCCGCGTCGGCATCCGCGACCACCAGTGCCAGCTCAGCAGCTCCTCGTCCTGTCTCTGGCCGTCCTCGACGCGGGGGTCCGCCTCCGCGCCGTCGGCCGCCTCGCCTTTGAAGAGCGCCAGGTCGAGCCCGATCGCGGGGGGGCGCTCCGCCTCCGCATCTAGCAGCTCGCGGGGCCTGTCGCGCCCCCGTCCCATCTGGCAGCGCTCGCACCAGCGCCGCGGTGGGCAGCGCTGTTTCTCCTCGTGCCGCTGTCTCTCCTCTGGCGTCGGCTCGCGGACGTCGGGAAACGTGGTCGGATCCAGCGCTCGCCCTGTCTCTGCCTGACGCCTCATCTCCTCGCGCCTTAGCTCGCGGTAGTCATCTGTCGCCGCCCCACCTTGCGTCTGCCCTCGTACTCGTCGAGCCGCGCCCAGCACTGGGCCGTGGCCCCGTAGTGCGGGGCGTAGATCTCCTCGAGGCGCTTCTGCGTGGCGTCGATCCTCGAGCTCGGCGCGATCCCCTCGAGGCATGACCGCCCTGGCGGCTGTGCCGCCGCAGGTGCCTCCTGGCCCTGCGGTGGCGCCGCCGCCTCCTGCGCCCGCGGTGGCGCCGCCGCCTCCTGCGCTCGTGGCGGCGCATCTCCTGCATCTGGTGGCGCTGGGCCACGCGACCCTCGAGCCTCTGGGCGCGGCGGAGGGCCCCCCCTCGCACTGGCCCCCGCGGAGCTCCAGCAGCGCCTGCAGCGGCGACCCTGGCGGGGCAGGCTGCGAGCTCGGCTTCGCCCATCGCGTCGTGGGTCTGCGCAGCGAAGTAGAACGCGCCGCCAACTAGCTCCACGTCCGCCCGCTCGCCCGCCCTGAGGTTTACGGCGCGCGGGCCACTCTCCTCAAGGACAAACCTGAACTGTCTGCGCGCCAGCTTCCCGAGGCTGGGCACCGCGCCCTGAGGGGCGAGGTCGTCGCTCACTCTGAGGCCCCCCAAGCATGGCTGGCGACCCTTCTCGACTCCGACGACCATCGGGGCCCTCCGGGGCCCCTCGGCGCCGAGCCTCTGGCCGCTCACCGCGGTGAGCTTGGGCGCCGTGGGGCGCCCCTGAACTGTCGGATGCTGCGCTCCGAACGCTTGGCCGCAGAGGTGCTCGTCGCCGCCACTTCCTGCGAGGGTGAGCCCTCTGCGCTCCTCCCCGCGGCAGACTCCGACCGAGCTCCTGGCCCCGAAGACCCCGCCGACCTCGTCGCCGTCGAAGCCCGCGGCCGCCGCGCCCGCGGTCCTCTGGCCCTCGGCGCCCGCAGGGGCCTGCTGGACTGCGGCCGCCTTCGGGGGCGCTGCCGTTGGCGCCCGGGGCTTGCCAGCTGCCTTATGCCAGCGGCCCTTCTCCTTGCGCCCCTGCTTCTGGCACCAGATGCAGCCCCCCTCGAACTTGGCGGGGGTGCTGCCCTTGAGCTTGTTGTTATTGACTCCTTTCTTGCTGCCTTTGCCACCCTTGTCGCCTTCGCCGCCCGCCATGTCGCCCCTGCCGCCGCCCGGCCTGTCGCCTTTGCGCTTTGGCCAAGGCTGTTGCGGCGGGGCATGGCCCGAGATCGCACCGATCTCCATCGGCGCCGCGCCTTGGCCCACCGCGCCGCTGGCTGCGAAGACCTGCCCAGACGCCATCCACTCTCTCAGGTGGGTCCTCAGCGCCATGTGC